TAGAGAACGAGATGTAGAACCGTCTCTACCGTGCCCAAGTAGCTCGCGCTTAAACCGCGGTACAACCCAGGGATTCCCTCTTTCCGCAGCACCTTTTGCACACAGTCGAAGCTTCCCTTATATTGACGCATCGTAGTGCCGTGAATGGCACGTGATCTGTCGAGTTGGAGCCTGATCTTCACAAGCCACACGGGATTCGTCGCTGTTGCGGTGGCGATGCTGGCGGCAACGGCGGCGTACGCATGTATGATAGGGTCGTCCTCCTTGTGGTTCAGGTATCTAGCTGCGAGGAGCTTGGTATTTCCGTACACACAGAACTTTATGGTAGTTGCAGGAACCACGCCGGCCAGACTGGGCCCAATGCCGCGGAACAGTCCACGCCATCCCTCGTTATTCCTGATCGTGCGCAATATGTCAAACGTTTCGAAAACGTCGCCCAGGATGGTTCGGTAGAGGCGAGAGCGCGAGGGTTGACCGGCAACAGTCGGTTGCGATGAAGGCAGGTAAAGGTCGGACTGAAGTCGAGTTCGTAGAATCCCCCAAGGGCAGAAATGAACTCATCGAAAACGTTTTCAGGTCCCTGTCCTTGGGTGGACGGGCCTGCCTTTGGAGGATTGTGAGTCGGTGACGGAGTCATGGTACAGTGTAGAGGCAAACGGGCCTTCAACCAGGGAGTCAGCCAAGCGAGGAGTGGGAAGTGAAGGAGTCAAAGACGTGTGTTATGCTTGGTTGCGCACATAGTCTGGTTTATCAAGTCGAATCCTCGTTTGCCAGGTCAGGGACGCCCTCCTATTCATCCCTGATAGGCCTGAGGCGAGAGGGATCCATTGGTTGAGAGATCCAGAGCCTGCAGGTGAAGGCTATGATGATGCTTGTTGGCAATGATGGGGCGAGGAGTCTGCATGCGTCGCCTACGTGATGCCGTTGGTTCGAGATTTGATAGGGCTCAGCAAGCTAGCATACGAACCCCTGGTGTTTTGGAGCTCCACGTCTCTCATGGCCTGGCGTGAGATCCTTTTCAGGGCGAACAGGCCAACCAAGCGAAGCATTATCTGCACTGGCGGCAGTCCTGAGCCAAAAGGTTGGCAAATGTTGGTGGCGCCATCTGTCGGTGGAATCCCTCTACCCCATGCCTTAGACCACATAACGGGGTCTCCTCTGATATGCCTGATCGTACCTTTGCCTGACTTTGCTGCAGAACGGCGTCACAGTGAAGCAGGTCAGCTTGCCAATGCCATTCAGAACCCAACGTCGCCTAAAAATTGATCATATCTTGGGTAATGATTGAACCGGAAATTTTATGACTTGAACCTTGACAATATGACGGATTGTACATTTGGGATGGTATCGCGAGCGTTTGCTCTCAGGATGACTCAAATTCCGTCGTCATTGTCGGTGTTTTCCTCCTCACAGAAAGCCTGTCGGTGTAGCTGCGTCAAGATCATTTTGACATGAGACAAGGCTAAAAAGACTCAAGCACGTGAGGATGGGAGCAAGTTGGAAAAATAAATAAATAGGCGAGATATACTATGAAACTTTTCTTAAACGATCAAACTCTCTTAGTGTTGGATCGAAATGATGCCAAGAAATTAAATAGAGCCAGACATGCCAGAAACTCGACGACGTGTGAATGGTGAGCCATTGCAAGTAGGCACCGGTTTGTAGGAGGCCGCCTGCCAAGAATCTCAGGAATTGGGATACAATCCTTACCACCATCTCTGTCTGTTGCAGCATCTTTGGAGAGTGTATCGAAGGTAAGCTTTACGCTGTCCACGTTGGTTTCTTCTGAGCATCTGCGCAAGTGGGCAAAATATTCAAACCATAGGCATCAGACGCCAGCATCGATGCAAGCGCCCAGGAGGCAGCGGTAAGGGAGGGTAGTCGATGAACCAAGGAAAACCCCTAGGAGAAAGCAATCCGGAAACGAGGCGATGCCAGAGGACCCATTCAACACATAATTGGCTTGAGTACGGCGCAGCCAATGTTCCGCTGCAAAATGATCGTGTGTTCGTAGCCTGTCAGTCATTTGATTGGTTTGTTGGTTTAAATAGTCACATCGTTGTGGATGCCAGGCATTGTGGCGATAAGAGTAGGCCACATCACATTTTGCGCGTCCGGGGGGAATGTGAGAGTCGGCAAAAATCTCATCCCGTTTCACGCCCCTCTTTTCTTTCAGAATGCTGACTACACCGCTTAGAATGTTACAAACCATTGAAAGAGAGGACCGGAAACACTTTAGATCCATGAATAGGTTGCTCATCTCTCTGAACAAATCGAACCAGCTGCGTCCTTCCCTGGTTCATGCACGTAAGGCTTGACCTAGAATCTACTGGACCTGGCCTCGTCCTCGACCAGTAGAAATGCTGAAGAGTCATATGCAACGTGACCAACATACAGGAGTTGGCGCGACCCGCCATAGCCATTAGAATTCAACAGGATGATCCGCAAGCCTGCGCGGGCTTTTCCTTGTGAGGAGGTAGATCTTGCCTGATCGGGAGAGAATCCTCGCAGAAAAGGCGCCCTGCCGTTCACTGACCAGCTAGAAAATCAGGCTTGAATGGGATCATTGATGTCTTCCCACGACAGCCGTTAATCTGCTTAATCTAGCGCTAGTAGCAAAGCACTGATTGGCTCAAGTTGAAGGGCTGGAGCAGCGTAGGAAACGGACATGTCGAACCCGCCCCTCCCCGCTTTCTAAATCGATGCTCTGGTTGGCCAACTTGCGGCGGGGGTGTCCCTCGGGAAAAGGACCGTGCCTATCCCCCCCCGTGAAGGTTGGATTCAACTCTTTGAGCGGGTCTCAGCGGCCAACAACCTGCAATGATGGGGCCGGATACGCCCGCAAGGAACCACGTCGAGGACGTATTTGTGACAGATATCCGATATACTTCACAGCTATGTCTCCACAGGCAGATACCCTGACCCTCCTCGCTCAGCTAATGAGCTCAGTCGGAATCGACGCGCCGACGCGGCTTAGAGGAACAAGACGATGTTGGTCTGCAGTCTATTATAGTCATCCCAAGCAAGAATTGCCGATGAACCATGTCTCCCGTTGGCCTATTCCACAGGACGGCTATATAAGTCTCTTACACACAACTCATTTTGCTTGGGTTACTTTCCCAGATGCATTTATTTCGAGAGACCTCCATTTGATACTTACCAGGTAAATCCGACTGAAGTACGCAGCTGGGTAATGGCAAGCTGACGATGTAGAATGTGCACCAACATAACCACCACGACCTCCTACACGGGTTGCCCCACAGCGTGCAACACAACCAGCATTTTCCTCGCGAAGTGCTCCGCCGCAATCAGTTCGGGTACGACTTGTCCTAATCCAACGTCATCTACCACGGGCAAGACAACATCCAGAGTTCAGTGTCCCCAACATCGAGACGAAGGCTATAGTCAGCGATGAGTCTCCAGATTCAAGGATCGTCGGGACGGATCGTTTCTCATTCAACGAGATAGTGAAGGAGATGCACATTCACTGAAACAGTTGGCTTCGTATTTATCTGCACGCGACTTCTCCAAATATTGCCTGGCTGGCGAAGTTCGAAATATCTCTATGCTGGGCTTGACCCCCATCATTACCCTATCAGTAATGTCACCAATCATTCGCTAGGTGCACACATCAATACATACCAATGGAACCGGGTAGCTTTTGTCCCTAAATTGCACCATGGGCTTTTGTTTACGAGCCAGTGATTGTCTATCGAAGCGAAAGTGTAACAGCTGTTGTGACCTTCCAGTCTTAACAAATACCACAACCTCATTTGAACAAAATGTCAGACATTAAGCATCGCCTAGACTGAGTTGGGTCGACGGACTAGTACTGCCCCCACAAACGCCTCCGGCTGCGGGGGAACGCTGCTTCACCGCCTCCAACCGCGAGGTGCCCACACAGGAACCGCACCCACATAAACCCTCTCAACCCTCTTAACCCTCTCTTCTTCACCTGAACCGCTGTAGGCAGTCCAACATCACTTCTCAAGTCCTCGCCTACAATGTCAGACAACCAACCAAGGCCGAACTCACCTCCCCATGCGAGCGATGGCCACGACGACGAATTACCATCTTTGAATCAAAAGGGCGAATTCATCGCGATAGGCTCAACATCCTATGTTGAGCGTTTACCCAATGGCGCCATCATCAAGACAGCCTGGCCCGGCGGCGACCGCGCCTGCCAGCGACGCCATGAAATTGCTACAGAGGCCGAGATATACGATCGACTAGGTGAACATCCTTGCTTAGTGAAAAAGAAAGCTTGGAACCCAGACGAATTCGCCTTAACCTTGGAAGATATGCCCAACGGAACGCTCAAAGACTTCCTCGAGTCCCACACGGACGTGCCTGTGGAACAGCGACAGCAATGGGTTACTCAGGCTATTGAGTGCATCAAGCTTCTGCACAGTTCGACAATTCTTCATTGCGACATTGGGCCACACAATTTCCTCTTGGATGACAGTCTGCGTCTTAAAATCATCGACTTTTCTGGATCATCCGTCGACGGCTCCCACACTGAGATCAGCCCTGGTACTCGATACGCAGCCCCTTTACCCAACCGCTCCTTGCAATGGACTCCAACAGTCAGAAGCGACCTCTTCAGTTTAGGATCAACCATCTACTACATTATGATGGGCAAAGCTCCATTTCAGGATTTCCAAAGTGGAGAAGTTCGGGAGATGTACAACAACCAAGAATTTCCAGACTTGAGTGGCGTACCTCATGCAGATCTAATCCGAGGCTGCTGGACCCAAAATTTCGATTCCGTGGATGGGCTGCTTTCTTTCTTGGACATCTGATCAAAGGATTAAGACTTGTATCTTGCAATCTCAGGCCAATGGGCGTAGAGTCTGGATGCATTGTGTAATCTAGAGGAGCTGTATTTCGAGCATTCGGCAGAAAGGTGCATCTTGAAGGCGATATGAGCCGTACAAACGGTCCTTCCACTTCTATATCACTTCTGGAGGAATCGTGGGCTTCGCTCACTTCCTCCTTCCTCCAGCTCCATACGCAGCAATATTACAACGGTTATTGATCTTCGTACCAACCGCACGGTTGCCCGGCTGACGCGCATACCAAAAAGCATTCCCTCAACTTATCTATTCCATTCTTAGACTATTCGAGTTGGCAACCCAAGCTTCAGGACAGGGTGGCGCCGTATCGGAAGGCCTGGCAGACTCATGCCTGCCGTCCATTTGAGAGAATACGGTACCAATCTTTGAGAGACATACATGGGCGATCTGACCTAGTTCTAAGTTGCCCGAAATTTCGATGATAGAGCGCCAGATTGGAAAAATTAGAACGCACGCGTACAATCGCCTAGGTCTGACGATAAGTGAGACGATACTGGGGTGGAATTGGGCTCCTGTTGCATCCCTGCCTCGGGAATCCAACGATGGCTAAGCCAGATTGATTCGAGATTATAACATTCGGACTAGCGCCTATTTGCGGCTTCAATCTATGCGTGCGACATCTCCAGCAAGACAGGCCTTCGTGACATCATGGGGGGCACTGTTATATGCACCTGCTCCTGTACTAGAGAACAGAAGGTTCTATGTACCTACACCAGTGCCGCAGGCCGGCTATCCAATGTGTCGCCTCCGCGTTTTTAGACAATGCCTCCAATTCAGCCACTTGCGCACGCGAAGCTTGTTCTAAGTCCTGCTGTCCCTGGTGCTGAAGCACATCGCAGAGTGAAAGGTATATCAAACGAGTCGCGTGCCCGCTCGTAGGGGGAAACTTGTTGATGGCGACAAGTGCTTTTGTCCACCATGCGAATGCGCCTTCCCAATCAGAGCTCAC